ATTAAAATTACTTCTTAAAATGTACTTTGTAGAGTTGTAGATTACCTCAAAATTATTTCCCATTCTTATTAGCATAATGGTGGTCGACATTTTTTCTTTCAGTAAAATCTTGGACGTTCCATCTCTCGGTCGATGTTTCTCCCACCCTCACCCCACCCCCATTTTTTTGTTCCTCAGATTTTTTTTCTTCTTCTTCTTCTTTTTTTTTTTTTTTTTGAGTAAAAATAATTGGCTAATCAACCCTACTATTTCTAGCACTAACCTGTTAAAAATAAGGAAATTAAGGAATAAACCAGATGTTGTCTTTAAAACAGATGACAGAAATTAATATCCAAAGAAAACTCTTTACAAAGCAAAGGAGCTTATGTTATAAGGCTAAAAAAGGTAAATGTGAAATGAAATGGTAAAAAATACAATTCTTGATTTTGTCTTGATAATGTCCACTTTATTGAATCTTGAGCTAACTTTTGAAAATAATGGTAGGAAAATTATTCTTGATAAATAAAAAATTTCATTATTTTTCTACCTTTTGAAAAAGTTCTTAGATTACCATTTGATCATTTACACTAAATACATGAAGGGACAAGCACCAAGAAAACATTTGCTTTTTTCCCCAAATAAATGTTCACTACTTTAATATCAAACTTATTTCGATCTCTAAGGGTTCTGTGATTCCATTGGTATGGGTACTCCTAATTTTATTGTTCTTTATTTTCCCTTGAATGTACCAATTGAAGATCTTGAGGTATTGTTAAAAAAAAATTCATGGTGTTTAATTCTGTGGTGATTAACCTTTTCATTATACAATTTCTCTTTTAAATAATTCATTAAAAAACCTGAATTTAGTTTGTGCTTTTTAACTTTTATTTTTGGTTACTGAAAATGTCTTCTAAGGAGTAGCATTAATGGTGTTACTGCATTTACTTAGCTGATGGAACTCTTGTGTTGTTCTTACCTCAAACTAACTAAAATTCTCAAATGGATCTGTGAATCTCAGCCCATCCATGCCTGTCCTTATTTGTGACTCTTGTCCACATTCTCCCAGAGTTACATGATTGAGAGTTCATCCAGTGTTCTGGGGACCTCCCTTCCTCTTGACATTGTGAGGATACCATTGGAGTAGAGAAGCTGTCCACTCATTTTTCCCACTTTCACCGCATGATCAGCTCATTTTTTTTTTTTTTTTTTTTTTGCTTCTTAAGAAATGTAGGGGCAGCTAGGTGGCGCAGTGGATAGAGCAACCTGAGTTCAAATTCGGCCTCAGACACATAACACTTACTAGCAGTGTGACCCTGGGCAAGTCACTTAACCCCATTGCCTAACCAAAAAAAAAAGAGAAGTGTAAAATGAGATCACAGAGCAGTCACTAGTTTGGGGCAAGGGTGACTTTGCACATGAAATTTGCCTGAGGGTGGAAAAATTTAATGAGCTTATACTCTTTTAAATAAGGAAGAAGTAGAGCTGGGGCCTTGTGGTCTTGTGGGACAGGAAGCAGCAGACAGGATGGTAAAGATGGGAGTGTATGTGGGTATGGGTGACATTGGGATCAGAATGTACACAAAAGGATAGAGGGCTCCACTCCCTGTTTAGCTAATTGCCACGAGACCAGAGGGTGCTGCCCTCGAATGACTAGTGCTCCCATGGCACACTAATTTTTCTATAATCTGCCTGATCTGACATTAATTCTTCAGTCTTTTTCTTTCTCTTTAAAATAATGGGTTCGGATAGGGTGTTTCAGCTCCAGTAGGCTGTGAGTCTAAGGTTGGGGGTGTACTTTACTCCACTCTAGGTCAGCCTCGATTTCAGTAAAAATTAAACCTTCCTTTATGACCTTGAGCAATCTGTGAGTCAATCAACAAATTTTTAAAGTATTACCTGGGACATATAATGGCTAAGTCATTTAACCTCATGTACCACAGACAACTTTTTAAGACTGTGAATAGCAAAGAAGGTACTGACTTGCTTTGGTAGAGGGAATTTTCTCACCAGGAGTGGATTTAACTTCTATTTCTTATCAATATATAGGATAAGGGATAGGAACTGGATCTGTGATTTCATTGCTTTAGAGAAATTAATTACCAGATGAGGAAATCTCTTAGTATAAACTGGTGTTTTCTCCATGATTTAGTCTTTGAGTGTTCTCTATGGGCTGAGAGGTTGACTTTCCCAGGGTAGCACAGGCAGGATATATCAGAAGTGGAACTGGAATCCAGGTCTTCCAAGGCCAGTTCCCTAACCAGTATGCCACTTTGCTCTGAGAACTATGTGCAGAATAAATAGGCAGAAAATACATACATACACGTAGTTAGGGAGGGGGAGGGTTCTTGGTAGCTGAGAGGAAGGTCAGGAAAGTATTGACCTGTGTGCTTAATGGAAGAGAGATTCTTTGAGACAGAGATGAGAAGAGGGTGGATTCCAGACGTGGTTATGGACATTGTAAAAGCATGAATGTGGGAAATGGAGCAGAGAGAAAGCCAGTTTGTAAAATAATATGAACTAGCATTTATATAGCACTTTTAAAGTTTGTAAAATACATATATTAGAGCTAATAATAATAATAGCTAACATTTATCTGTTAGACACTGTGCCAAGCGCTTTATAATCGTCATCTCCTTTGATCCTCACAGCAACTCTGGGAAGTAGGTGTTACTATGATCCCCATTTTACAGATGAGGAAACAAAGGCAAACAGGTCAAGTGACTTGCCCAGGGTCAGATAACTTGTAAGTGCATGAGGAAGGATTTGAATTCAGGTCTTCCTGCTTCCTGTCGTTTGAATGCCGGATCGCAAAGGGTTGAGGAGTACTAGTGAGAAGGCGGGAAGTTGAAGCAGCACGTGTAGATATCTTTTTCTAGGAGGCTGGCCGACAGAGAGCAGAGATAGAGGATGATAGAGTGAGGGGGTAGTAGGGTCTGAGCAAGGCTTAGTGTGTGTTTTAAAGGACAGGAAAACTTGGAGGGTGATTGAAGGCGGCAGTAAGGGCAAGGAACCAATAGACAGGGGGATGTTAAGGATTATAGAAAGAAGGGATGATTAAAGTATCTCTTAATCCACTGGAAAAACCAGGAGGGGAAGGAATGAGTGGCACAGGTAAAGAGGTTTAGCCGTGTCAAGGAATAGGGCCTCCTTGTTAATAAACAGACAGAGGAAAGGAAGAGAGAGTACAGTTGATGTCAAAGAATTTTTAGATTGTGAGAAGGAAAAAAAAGGTCTCAATTTTTTCAGCAAATTAAGAAGCAAGATCCTCAGTTGGGAGTGTAGGGCCTCAGTTTCCTTTTTTGTAAAATGAAAAGATTTAGTTAGATGATGCTTAAGTTTCTTTCTGGCTCTAGCGTGATATTTTTAGGGCTTTTTATGGGAGGTGGGGTGGCTTCAAGATTTTTTCAGCCTACATCCCTAAAGCATAAATTTGTTATAAAGATTACTATTCCACTTCCACAACCCAAAAAGTAAGCTTCTTATATGCTGTGTGTGAAGAGAAAGCTGACCCTAGCACTTATTTATCGCAGATAATTAGTTAAAAGACAATGTCACTAAATTACCTGCTTCCTTTCTACCTCACATTGGGGTGCACAGTCTTGTGATTTCTCAGGGTCTCTGCCTCCCTCAACTGTTCTTCTCTTAAATTTAGGGAGCTTTTTTTGTACCACTAGCCCCCTAGTACATCGGTATTTGTTGCATGTACAAAATACCTAGTTAAGGCTGTGTCGTTGAATGTGATGCTTTTCCCTTCCTATCCTTCTCCCCTTCCTCAAAAGAAATTGCATGAAGAACATTGTTTTTCATTTATTTGTTAACTGCTAGATAACATTTCAGATTTGTCCTTTGTGACTTTCTAACATCCACATTTTTGTTTACCACATCCGAGAAGATGAAACTATAATAGGATATGAATCCTTTTGACTGATAGTTCGCCAACATTGAATCCTTAAACAACTGGAAGCTTAGTTCTTAGAATCTTCTTTAGAATTAGACAGTTTGGGGATAGTTTTTGCCTAGCATCAAGGGATGACCAATTCTATTGGTTTTAATTCAGCCTTTTCTTGGGTGTCAACAGCTGATTTATCCCCTTCCCCCCCGTGTTTTCTATCCTCAGCTTGTCAGATGAGATCCTCCCCAAAATAAAGCTGGTTTATGAGGGCAAAGCAAAAAAGTTTTATCACTTATCCTAAATTTACATGTTATTAGGATCAATAGGGAATATGCATTTTTCTAGGTAAAAGCTCTCTTAAAACATTTCTTTACTTTTTCACTTTCAAATGCATTAATTTCAGAAATTACATGTTTTCAGTACCTGTCTTTTTGTAAATAATTTTCATTTTAAGAAACTTAATTCTCCTGCTGTAAACTCCCTTTACTCTTGAATAGTCACTTCATTACTGGTGTACTTACATCTGAACTTGAATTAAATATTTAATTTTTCTTGCCAAAGTACTTATGTATCTGGTAAATGGTGCATTTATCCATGTCATTCTGATTGTACAGTTAACTATCTCATAGAACTTAAAGGCTAGGACTCTTATTAGTATAGTTCTCTTTTCCATATTCCTTCCTTTAACAGATATTTGAGTGCTGCACTATGAGGTATCCAAACGAAATAGAAAAAGTGATCTCTTTTTAGTCTCATAGTCCTTAGAGCTGCTTCATATAATGCTTAATGACTACTTTTTGATGGTGGTATAGCATATTGTAGGAAGAATTAGACATAATACATACATACTGGTTTACATAAAATACAGTGCAGTGTGAATTTCAAAGATTGGTTTCTTAATGCTTAACAAAAGATAATCAGATTTTACATAAGAATATTTTGAGCAATAGTGATGCTCATTGGAGCTATTTAGGATTCTGTTTAATATAGATTCAAATGCTTTCCCCCATTGTTTCCCCTTTCCTACTTAAAAACTTTTTCAAGAAATCAGAACTGTGGGCATATTATAGTTATTAGAATGAAGAGATTGCAAATCCTAAATGACATAATTTTTTATTACTTTCTACAGCTAAAATCTCATCCAAGTGAGAATGAAGAAAAAGAAGCCCAGTCTCAACTGCTGAAAGCTGATGAAATGCAGCGCTTACGTTCACAGGCGCATGCAGCTTTTGATCGGAAAGATTATCAAGCAGCTATTGCTTTCCTTGATAGTATTTTAGAGGTAAGTTTGTTACAGATTGAAGCCATTGCAGACAGCTTTTTCCTTCAGTGAGGGTTCTTAGTAATCTACATTGGTATTTGGCTATGCCTGTAGGAGGTTTCAATCCAAAGTGAAAGATAATACCTGTGAGAATAACATCCAGCTAGAAGAGTTTCCTAATTCTGTCAGTGGAATGTGAAAGTTCTTTTATTTATTTTTATGAGTATGCTTATTTTTGTTAATGTTTTGATTTGGGGGAGGCAAATTGAAGAAGAGGCCAGGGAGAAAGGAATTGGGAGTAGAAGGAAGGAGGGAGGGAAGGGAGAACAAATAACTGGAATTAAAGGAGGAATGAAGGTTGGAAAGATAGAATAACAGTGAAAATGAGGAATTTATAAGACACACATTTATGTAAATTTATAATTTTAAGAGTTGGTGGGAGTTGTAAGAAAACTATTTGAGAACTAATCCTAGGTAATTTGTATTTAGTTCTGGTCTTCCTGCTTCTGTTTCCTTGTTGATTTACTATCTGGTTCCCAACGAATGCTTTTCAGGGGAAAGCTCTGACAATATTGAGAGGTGAAGTGGAGGTTCTGTTTGTTTTTTAATTTCTAAGTCAGGCCAAATGTTCATATACATTTTGTCTTTACGTGGGCAGTATTTATAATGTTTAACTTCATATATGTATAAAATTTCCTAAGAAAATTTGCTTCACGAAATGCAGATTGACATAGAAATGAAATTTTAGTTCTGACTATATTTGACCTGGCCTTATTTTTACATTGTAAAAATAGCATAGGATTTGGTGTGCAGAATATTTCTTCAGTGAGGATTCCTGCAACTTACTTAAATAAGGGGGAAAAATCGACCACCCCAATGAATGCAGTTCCTTCCTTAAAGAAATTAAAAGTTAAAATTAAGTTCCTTCCTGACAGGAATTAAATTATAGTTCCCATAGCCATTTCAATTTCACTGTATGTTGCCAGTATAATGTATTTTCGTTTGGTCTTGATATTTGTTGTTTAATGTTTATTAAACATACAGCTAATGTGATTGCTATGGGAAACTTCTCTCTGAAATCTATAAAATCTGTCCCATGGAGCTTCATTAATATCCCCCCCCTTTCAATAATTTATGTGTTGAAAAATATGGCCTTCTTCCAGAGATCCTGACCTTCATTCTATGTGCTTATTATTATTTTCCACTTTAGTAGTATATAAAAGTATTAGGAGCTATGACAGGCAACTCCAGTCTGATTTGATCCTTCTCTTTAAAGGCTTCGTTGTGACCTTTGGACTTCATCAAGGTGATGAATAATTGTAGTTTTTTAATATCCAATTCACTCTTCAATGAAATAAGGAGGCTCATAAAGTTTCAATTGAATTAGAGCTTCATGGTTTTCATATTTTATTACAACTTATATTGGAATTGAAGTTTTAATATAAACTTTTTTGGACCAATCCTTGAGTTTTCATTGGTAAAGGAAACTTCCTCTAACGATTCAAATTGGTATCTGCTTTTCAATTTATAATGTTACAGAATTGTCCATAGGGGCACTCAAAAGTTAAGTGACTTCCCCAAGATCATGAAACCAATATGTGTCAGAGAGCAGACTTGAATCCAGGCTTTGCTGACTCCCGAAACTCTGTATTATGTCACACTACTTCACCCAATATAAAATTAGGTTTTAAAAATAATTTACCCTAACGGTTTTCAGTTCAACAAACATTTATTAAACTACTATTATGTGCTATAGTTTTCTTGTTAGGAACCAGTTATTTAATACAACATAAGATACATTTTTTCCTTCACAGTTTCAAATGTATTTCATGTTAGGGAAGTAATAAAGGGACATTTGGGTTTATTTCTTGAGCAATTGAACATCTCTTCCTCCTGCAACAATGCTTGATCTCCAAAAAAGAATTTTTAAATGATCAACTGTATTTCTCACTTATAATTTAAGATACTGAAGAATTATTTTGGGCAACTTAGGTGGCGTAATGGATAGAGTGCTGGGCCAGGAGTCGGGAAGACACATCTTCCTGTGTTCAAATCTGTCCTCAGACATTTATTAGCCACGTGACCCTGGTTAAGTCACTTAACCCTATTTGCCTCAGTTTCCTCATCTGTAAAATGAGGTGGAGAAGGAAATGGCAAACCACTTAAGTATCTATGCCAAGAAAACCCCAGATGGGGTCATGAAGAGTTGGACATGACTGAAAAACAACTGAAATGATAATAAAGAATTATTTTAATAGAAGATATAAAAATATGTAGAAAGATGAGTTTTTTGAGGAGGGGAAAAATGTTTTAGAAAATAAGTACTTTAATTTGATGAGAAAAACAGGTCACAAATGAAAATGCTTATTGATAAGTGATATGAAGAAAGATATGTGGGATGTAGACATGAATGTTTTAATTTAACTTTGCTGTGTTTCTTGCTCAAAGTCTAGTTCTTCTGTTTCTTAAGGTTTGTGTTTGGGATGCAGAGCTGCGAGAACTTCGGGCTGAATGCTTTATAAAGGAAGGGGAGCCAGGGAAAGCTATTAGTGACTTAAAATCTGCTTCCAAATTGAAGAATGACAATACTGAGGCCTTTTATAAAATCAGCACAATATATTATCATCTGGGAGATCATGAACTGTCACTCAGGTCAGTTTTCTTACTGTTTGACTTGGCTTATCAGCATTTACACTGCAAAATTGCTTTATGTAAATTATTGTCTTTATTTGAGTAAGGGTTCAGACCACTTAATAGTTTCATAGTATTATATTACATAATTTTTGTTTAAGTTAAATATGCCTGTTAAATTGTTGTGTACAGAGATATTCAATCATTTTAGTGAGTAATTGTTGCATATGCAAAAAAAAATAGCTGAGAGGCAGCATAGAAGCTAACCTAGGAGTCATAAGTCCCATATACTAGTCCCAGCTATGCCACTGACTAGCGGTGTGCAGTGGGCAAATCTCCCCCCCCCCGCCTATGTCCTCATATATAAAATGAGCAGATGGGACTACATCAGACCTTCTAGAATTCCATAATTTGCTTTTGTGATCACTTTATGGTCAAAGTCCTCTTACTTTGATTTCTAAAAACAGTATGAAAGAACTATCAATTCATTTTGAGGTATGTAAATATGTTGTATTCCTTTTATTTTTAATGTGTGAACAGTGAAGTCCGGGAATGTTTAAAACTTGACCAAGATCATAAAAGATGCTTTGCACACTATAAACAAGTAAAGAAGCTTAATAAACTTATTGAGTCAGCAGAGGAGCTCATCAGAGAAGGCAGGTAAGAATGAAGTTATTTTTTCTAGACTGTGTAGGACACTGTTAAGCAAGTGTTAAAATAATATGCAATATCCAGTTGAGGGTGTGTAGGTAATAATTATATCAGAGTATTATTTCTTGGCCTGTGGAAACAGTATCCCAAAGGTGATATTTGGAACTTGATGAATCTTCTTACAGTTTTCAAGAAAATTTCATTATTGAGGTAGCTGATACATATTAACAACAAGATAAAATTTTTGAGTAATTATATTAAGAGTATGTGGTTTCCCTAAAAAATTATATGGAGTTATCTTGCCAGTAAATTTAAGCATCAGTGTTGTTTGTTAACTTTCTATCCTGATGCGTCAGCTTTTAAATGTAAAGATCAAAGGACATGTAAAATAAGATGCCAAGATGGCATATAAGTAAATTTTCATTAGTTTGGCATTTCTGATAAAAAGAGTATTAGATGTTTGATTTCCTTGAAGTTGTGTATCCAGAAGCAATTTATTAGCTTATGACTCACAGAATAGCTTTACGTTTGTGAAAACTAACCAGTCTTGGGATTTAAGTTCACTTGTGAGATGCATCTGTGTTGTGCTTAATTGTGAAAGTGTCAGCATCCAGATGTCAAATGACATATGATATTTGCTTTTTGTGTGTTCCGAAAGCTGATCTAAAGTTCACAGTGAATTTTTATGAATCACTAAACTCTAGACCCATTTTGGAAGCAGCCAGGTGATGCAATGGATAGAGTGCTGAGCAGGGAGTTCAAGACCTGATTTCAAATGAGACCCCAAACACTTAGCTGTGTCACTCTGGACAAGTCAGTTAACCTCTATTTGCTTCTGTTTCCTCAACTGTAAAATGAGGATAATAACAGTACCTACTAATTTAACCTTTTGAGGTTAAAATTAGAATAATATTTTTATTAGCCCCACTTAGGCCAAGTGCCTGGCACAGAATAGGTGCTATGTAAATGCTTATTCCTTACCATTCTTTTGCATTTTCTTAACGTATGTTGATCTGATTAGAAAGTTTGCAATTGTTAAAAGATGTGGTTCTAGTAATAAACTGGTGAAACTTGCTGGAAGTCATCAAGTGCAAGTCAGATTTTAAAAGCTATGTTGAATCCTATTGTTACAATTCTATTAAGATGTTTCTGTGAAGAAGTGATTTTTGTAGATTGTTTGGCAAGCAAAGGTGCACTTTACACTTATATCCAAATTCACTTTATGCAATAGTGGTATTTTCATTCTTCATGGCTTTAGAGAAGCTTCTGAACGCTAATGAATGATTCTATTATTTCAAATAAATAAAGATAAAAATAAAGACAAAGTGAAAGTTTGGCTTTTGGAGAAATATGTTAATTTGGTAAGGTGGCATTTTGTTAACAGTGTACAATACTAATAATTGTTCAGAAAACAGTATTACAGAATACTTATCTATTTACTTTGTAACAGATATGTAGATGCAGCTAGCAAATATGAATCTGTAATGAAAACAGAGCCAGATATACCTATTTATACTATTCGTTCCAAAGAGAGGATTTGCCATTGCTTCTCCAAGGTAACAATTTATTTTGTCTTAAAACTTAGGTTTCTGTCTAGCTTATGAAACAACAACCATACGTCCTTTTTTGTTATTTGTTTTTAGGATGAAAAACCTGTTGAAGCTATTAAAGCATGTTCAGAAGTTTTACAACTGGAACCTGCCAATGTGAACGCTCTCAAAGACAGAGCAGAAGCCTATTTAATAGAGGAAATGTATGATGAAGGTAAACTTTTTGGAACATTGTTTCAGGGGGCTAATATTTGTGATGTATCAAATAAGTACATATGAAATTTCTGTTATGTCACTTTGCTTAAAACTAGGTTTTCCTACAGCTCTTAGGAATCTTTATAAATTTAAATACTATAAGTAGTGAAATAATTATTCTACTTTACTAGAACACAGATATCCTACTTTATTATGAATGAGGTCTGTAATTGAATCCCACTAAGAACAATTCAAGTATGAAGTAGTTGAAAAATATTTCACTTGACCTTATGGAAAAGTTTTAATTTGCAATCAGTCTGAAAATGCTAATGAGATAGTTTTTAAAGGGAGAGTGTGGCCAGATTTAATTTAATTTTTAATTTTTAAAAAATGATCAACGTATAAATAGATATGGAGGCAGATAGGTGGTACAGTAAATAGCGCTGGGCCAGGAGAAAGACACAATCGTCTTTCTGAGTTCAAATCCATTCTCAGACATTTACTAGCCGTGTGACCCTAGGCAAGTCACTTAACCTCTGTTTGCCTTAGTCCATTGGAGAGGGAAATGGCAAACCACTCCAGTATCTTTGCCAAGAAAGCCCCATAGATGGTATCGGTGTACTCTGGTCCACGGGGTCATGAAGAATCAGACATAACTGAATAACATAAATAGACATAAAGCAGATCAAATGTGAATTTTATACTTGTGGTAAATCTTATTTATTAGGCAATAATTTGACAATTTTCTTTATGAGTAAATTACTATTTTAGCAGTTTGCTAACTGTAACAGCATGAATTTGAATAAGTCACATAAACTTCTGAGGCCTTATTTTCCTCATCAATAAAATAAAAGGGTTGGCCTTAGGAGTTCCTAAGCTGTCTCTAGCTAGTGATCTTCAATCACAGGATCGTAGGTGTAGAGGCCGAGGAACCTTTAAAGTCTACCTGGCTGGTCTGATCACCCATTTTTTAGAAGAAAAAACAGGACCTGTTTTACTATGTATAGGAAATTTTCATAGGATGAATAGTCATCAAAGAATTTGAAATTTACAATAATTATAATCTTGACAGAAATATCTCAATGATATGTGTTTTAGACACAAGATCGTGCTATTGAACTTACTTATTTTAGCTTTCAAGTGTGGCATCTACTTATGCTGTTGGTTTTAAGATGTCATTTTGAGTTCTTGTAGTTCTTGTAACTCTGCTTAGGAGAAGTTGCAGAAGAACATAAAAAAAGTCTAAATCTTTCAGTCTGTGCATAAAACTGCCTCTTGCATTTTAGTGAAACTTTTATAGTTTTATTCCTGTATAATTTATGGAATGACCTTAGTATTAATTTAGGATGGTAGAATTATGAAATTTGAAGAATTTTTTTTGAATAAAAGTTTGTTTATTAGTAATGATCCATATTTTGGTTCAGATTATACTTTTGGGAAGCCATTTGAAATGAGGTTACAAAATGGAAATTGATTTGAGTCAAATTGTGAATTTAGTAACCCTACAGAGAATGTGTTATGAGGGTAGACTGAATTTTGTTTCAGAATATTCATTTTAACCCCCTAAAGACATGTAATGGAAACTTCGAAATTCTGCCTGTCTTATTTGGATGTAAATTAGGAGAATTAATGAGTGGCTTAAAGGATGTTTTTGGTCCATACTGTAATTTCTTTAGTGTAGGGAACCTTCTGGTGAGAAAGCTCCTTCATTGAATGCAGACCAGCAACTGTTCTGTGCCCTAGTCTTGGGACTCTGAGAGGTTGAGATTTCCCTGATTCTTTATCTCTTAACAGGTTACAGGTTTAAATCATAAGATAAACGTTAAAGAAGTAGTTGTGGCATAGTGGGAAGAGTCCTAGAATGGGAATCAGAGGACCTGAGTGAAAGTTTACCATCTGTCTTTTAATTATGTGTGTGAAAAGGCACTACTTCTTGAAGCCTTATTCCTTGTTTGCAAAATTAGGATAATGGCATTTGCAGTATCAAACTTAGAGGTTATTATAGGAAAACTGTAAACTTGAATGCTTAAATCATAGGATTTAGAGTTGCATGGAAATTTAGAGATTGTTTAATCCAGTCAGTTTCTTCATTTTACAAATGAAGAAGCTGAGGCCCAGAGGGTTAAAATGTCTTGCCCTGTACCCCAAAGAGAGCAAGACATGGAGTCAGGATTTAAATCTAGGTCCACTTGACACCCTTTTTCTCTTTTTGGCAACATAGTTGGTTGGCATTGTGTACCTTAAGGACATATGCAGTGCAAAGTGCACAATGGTGTTCAGAACCAAGGCTGCAGTGACGTTGTATGATGCAACATGGGCAAGTGCTGCCAGAAACATCTTGGATTCATTATGTGTTTGATTTTTAATTGATTTTTGGTTGTCGCATGTTTAGAAACCTTTGTTGTCAATTTTTTTGACCGTATTGGTTTGTGACCCACAGTTTAAGAACCACTGTCTACAGGATGCCTTTCCCAAACTTCTTAATTCTAGTGCCTCCCTCTGTTATTTCCTATTTATCCTGTATATAGCTTGTTTGTACACATTTGTTTACATGTTGTCTCCCCCATTAGTTTGGGCTTGAGTGACCTAAACTTCCTTCAGTTGTATCTGTAAACTAAGGTTAAAAATGCCTAGTTTATAAGCTGAGAGGATCAAATGAAATAACTTTGTGTGTGAAAGTATTCTGTAAAATATAAAATATGGTATGCACATGAAGGTTCCCTCAATTTGGGTTTCAGTATGAAAATCTTTTAATGGAACTACTTCAAACTAATGTGAATGATGAAGTATTTACATTTTTAACAGTGGATTATTATACAAAGAAATGAATTCTAATCAGTAATTTTCAAATATTATAACCAAATAAGATTAAAGAAAAAAAGAAACTGGAAGAAAATTTTTGGGATAAAAGCAAGGCCCGCCTGGAACTCTGTCCCTAGTACCAGATACTTTAAGTTGCTTCTGTTTTTCCCTTCTTCCCCAAAGTTGGGCTATATTTTGCCTCCCTCAAAAGATGGGCCTTTAGTGGTGACAGTGGGGCAATAGAGCACATTGCATGTATAGTATTTACAAGTGTTGCAGAAATCATGTCTTTGTATTCTAAATCTTGAAAGGTCTTCATCCACAGGAGCTTTAGGGTGAAAATTGATTGGCAGGTCCTGGAGGCATTAGATTTCTTCTTCTTGGTTCTAGGGAGTAGAATGGAAATGATATTCGGCATTGCACGGAGAGATTTAGCTAAACTGTGTGCACTCTGTGTTCTCCACGTGTTGGAAGGGACCTTGGAAACTTTCTAGTCTAACTTCTTTTGAAGCCCTGTCACCCTCACCTTGCCTTCTCTCCATCCCCACTGAAAATGACCTTTTGTACTGCTTTGTTGGGGCTTCTGCTCTTCATCTGTTATACTTTTGTTACTCTTTTAGAGTATAAAAGACAAAGTGATGTAAGCAAAAAACCGTGGGACGGGGAAGCAAAAGAACCTGTGTCCAAATCCCCCTTTCAGTACTTACTAGAAGCCTGACTGTGGGCAGATCCCTACATCCCCTCCCTTCCTTGCAGGATAATTGTGATGAAAAAATGAAATGTACTTTAGCTTTTCAAATCTTTTAAACTCTGTATGATGATAAGGAGCTCGAAGGTACCTAAAGAGGCCAGCTAGTTCTGTGCCTCCTTATTCTATAAAGAGGAAGACTGAGGCTGAGGAAGGCTAAAGTAGCTTGCCCAGAGTGACACAGTAAGCATCAGAGGAGGGATTGGAACCCTGGTCTTCTGACTCCAAAGCCAGTTCTTTTTTCACAGGTTGTCTCACTTAATAAGATCCTTGTTTCAGCTTTATATCTGTAGCAGCCCCTACAATGATTTGCACAGAGTAGGCACTTAGAATAGTACATGTTTATTGAATTGAATTTGTAGTCATTTGGTCAAACATTTAAAGATAAGTACTGAAAGTAATGGTTCTGGTAGGAACTCACCAAATGGATGAGGGGGGTCTGGAAGGATCTTCCATGATGAGGAGGTAGTAAGGGTAAAGGCATTTTTCAAGGTGAGAATGCTGTTAGGGCTTTGTGGAGAACTTTGGACAGTCCTGAAGGAAGCCAGGTGAAGAAAGGAAGGCAATGATCTGGGTTCAAATTCTGCTTCTGACACATATCAGCTGTGTGACCTGGGGTAAAATATTTAACTTTTCAGAGCACCAGGGAACTCTTTAAGACTTGAATCTGCAGAGTAGTTGCTGATTTAGGGTTGGTTGTGGGAGTTTTCCTTACTGGGAGGGAGCTCCCAGTCTGGGAGGTCCAGACAAAAAATATACTGGTGTTTCACACAATAGATTGAATAAAAGAATACACTTTTGAGGCAGGTAGGTGGTGCAGTAGATAGAGCACCAGCCCTGGAGTCAGGAGTACTCGAGTTCAAATGTGGCCTCAGACACTTGACACTTACTAGCTGTGTGACCCTGGGCAAGTCACTTAATCCCATTGCCTAGCGAAAAAACAAAAACAAAAAAAAAGAATACACATTTGCTTTTAGGTGTAGCAGTATGTGTTGTAGATATAATTATATAGCAAGCATTTTGTAGTATTTTTTAAGTAACTAGAACAATATTGTTAATATAGGATGCTTTCTTTAAGTGTTAAATTATAATAGGCATGATGACTATCAGAGAATCTCAACAGAAGAATAGGGATTTTTATTTGTTAGGTTTTTGAGTCATCAGGGCATCTGAGGCAGTCTCAATGTCTATTTTTTAATACCTCACTTCTAAATAGAATTTCATCCTGTCGTCTAATGCCTGTTTCATAAACTTACCTGGTGTCTCCTGCTGGCTTTCAGAGAAAGAGCAAAAAGATAGATGTAACACCTATTGAGAACAATCTAAGCAAATATTTTGTCTTAAGATTATTGAGAAATCTTAGCTCTGTAATGAGACTACAGATTATAATGCAGAAAAGGAACAAAATTGCTCATTACTTGTAAAATGCAAAGCATGTCTCTTAAAGAATATCAATTTTAGTTTAAGCATTTTGTTTATTACTATGACAATATTTAGTTTTTCTTCTTAGAAATGCACTGTTCTGCAAAATATTTAATTTTTACATTGCAAAAATTCAGTTCAGCAAATATTGACCAAGAATCTAATATGTATAAGGTACTGTTCTAAGTACTAGAGGTTATAGAGAGGAAATAGTGCCTGCTGTCAAGAAACTTAGACAATCTACTGATAAATACAAGGTAATTTGAAGAGAGAGACTGTCAGCTGGCCTCAGCTGCCCAAAGCAGCCACACAAACATCACTGTTTAGAATGTTGATTTATGGGAAAAGTCTTAAAATGTACAAAGAAAGATATATAAAATATCCCTGTGTGAATAAAATATGAGCACGGTTTTAAATAAAACAGAAAATTCACTTATAATTTGTATATCTTTTCTAATATTACTTTTGCCTCATTAGCACAAGTATAATATTAGGCCTTCGTTCTTTGGTATGTCAACATTTTCTTGTAAAAACATTTGCATTTGAAATACTAATTAGTAATGTGTAATTATGCCAATTACATAATTGTGAAGACTTTTAGAGGTAGGTGCGATCTGAATAATTTTCAAGTCTTTTAGATATAGGATTTAAGTAGCACATATACTAAAACTAAACATAAAACTTCTTCAGAATTTTACATTGTTAAATTATGAGATTTGGTCACCAGATGTAATCCTTTTAATGTCGCTGATATGCACCTTGTTTTAGTAGTTTAACTATGGTTGGGATTAAACTAATTTTACCATATGGTCTTATTAATTAACCCTTTATAAATGTTGAGTATCCTCAGTGGTACATGAGAGAGCTGGTCTTAAAGGTAGGAAGACCAAGGTTCAAGTCCTACCACTGACACACTTTGCCTTTCTTGTATATCTAGGGCTTACATAATGCCTGGTACACAGGAAGCACTTAACAGATGTTTGTTGGTTTATTTTGTATATCCCTCCCGCTTTCCAACTCTAGCTCTGAGAACTATAATCAAATTAACCCCACCATTTTGACATTCCTTCCTTGACCACCACTCCCTCCTATTTGTTGTCATACTCACTAGAATGTAAGTTTTTTAGGGCAGAGCTGTCTTCCTTTTGAAGTATCTGGTTTAGTAAGTGCTTAATATTGCCTTTTCATTCATTCATACTTGATGAATTTGCCTTTTTTGATAAAATGTAAGCTTCTTAAAGGCAGGGACTGTTCAATTAATGGTTGATTGATATACTAGTTCCTTAGTTTAAGTCATCTTGTCATTAAATCCATCTTGCATTGGTTGGAGTCAGTTCATAGTCATTGAATAGAATAACTTTGGGCCTCATTTATATGATATACCACCTGTCTGGAAAAATCAGCAATTGTGTAGGGCACTGTTCTAGGTACTAGAAGTTATGAAGAGTAAATAGTTCCTGCCCTCAAGAAACTTACAATCTACTACATACAGTGAATGCACAGATAAATAATACAAGGTAATTTAAGGAGGGATAACTAACAGCTGGCCTCAGCTGCCCAAAACAGCCAGTCCTCCGATGAGGATACTCAGCTCTTATAAAGGGTTGATATGACCGTGTGGTAAAGCTAGTTTAATCCCAACCATAGTGCCCATTAGTGACCTGTGTAATTGTATAATTTAGTTTGGGCTCCTTTACTGTGTTTGAAAGTTCCTCCATGTATACTAGTCCCTTTGAAGAAACCCATTAAAGTTGGTTTCCAAACCCTTCAAGGTTAGTTGTTGCTAAGATAAATATGTTTTTCAGAGTGATAGAAACTTGATCATGCTTCATTACTACACTTGAGCCTGACTTTGGTGGCTTTTCACTTTATACTCCTCCTTCTTCCAAACTGATCCTCATGGTTTCTATTTACCTTGCACATGATCAAGAGATCTGTCATTTTTACCTTTCCCAACAAATTCTTTTTGAATACTTAACTCCTATGTGTGATAAACTGCAAGATTACCTTGTGATAAAGTAATGTTATTTAAATAATGCTTTCTATTGTGGGCTTTTTTTAGTGGGCATTGGGGATAAGGAAGATGTGGGAAAAAGTAAACAAGGAAACAGCAGTGGAGTTCACTCTGTGGAAGTGATAATGTAATAGTGAATAAAGAATTGTTAAACTATCTCATAGTGACAAAAAATTGAGGGGGTTGGAAACATTTTTTAATCCTTAATATGAAGCTTATGATTTAATAAAAAGTTAAAATGTATAATAATTGCTCTTAACAGCATTATTTCAAACATTTTGACAGCTATTCAGGATTATGAAACTGCACAGGAACACAATGAAAATGATCAACAGATTCGAGAAGGACTAGAGAAAGCTCAGAGACTCTTGAAACAGTCCCAGAAAAGAGATTATTACAAAATCTTGGGAGTAAAAAGGTGAATTGTTCATATGTATTTAGAATTTACATTGGCTTTAAAACATATCTGATAAAAATAGCAATAAGTCCCTTTTTTGGCCTCTTTCCCCCATTGTTCTCTTTGATTATGTAATTTTAGCCACATAGAGCACATAGACAAAGCCATTGACATCTATAAAACTTTTTAGAATTATTTGCAGAAATATTAATTTAATGATTATTAAAAAACACATGCACAATAAGAATGGAGTATTAGTTACTGGCAATGAAACAGGGAAATTAAACTCATGCTTAAAAAGTTCTAAATTTCAATTGTAAAACAAAAGAGGGTCAAAAAACCCGCCACTTTCAGCCTTTATAATGAAATTGATGACTGTCATGCATTTGATTTCAGGTAACTAGCTAGAAATTATTAATTCATTTTGTAATCCTATGCAAAATTCCTCTTGAACATACGTTTGTATTCTTATCTTTAGCGTATTAACTTAAAGACTGAAACTTTGATTCTCCTGCTACTGATATATAGCTAATCCATGAGTATAAAATTCTTCCCTGGGCCCGTTTCACTTCTGCAAAATGTGAGAATTGGGTTAGAAGACCTCTGAGGTCCTTTCCAGTTTTACTTTTATTAAAATGTAGAGAACTCTAGAAGTTTAAATGAGAAGATATAGGAGATTTTCAAAGCCTAAGAGTATTAGTCAGTTAGAAAATCCAGAAGGTTTTAAAATCGGGATGTGTCATTTTAAATAGCATAAAAGCAACTCATAATTATATAGTACTTTCTAGAGGCAGCATGGCATAGTGGATAGAATGTTGGGGTTGGAATCGAAGACCTGGTTTTCAAATCCTGCCTCTTACCCTTATGTGACTCTCAGCAAGTCGCTTTCAAGTAACCACTGTAGTACTTGATGCCAAGTAAGTCAGAGATGAGGTGCCATCTTTGTTGGTAGAACACCTTACCACATTGGGGATTGTCTACACTGTGGTTTACAAAATGCTTATCTATGGTAACTATCATGAGGAATTATTCCTTCTGTTTTTAACTAGTTAATATTTTAATCTCATTGAAATAACTATCTGAGGTACCCTTTTCTAGTTTTTTATCATAACTTAGCACTGTATCACATCACTGTGTGCTTCAGAATAGAAACTTACCTCCTTAAAGCAATTGGAAATCCATGTGGCTTTCTTTTATTTTGGTGTTTGATGACTGTATTCTAGTTCATTATTGTGGAATGTTGTAAATCTCTTCTATTAATATGTAATTGCTACATTTTAACTCCCCAGAAATGCTAAAAAACAAGAAATCATCAAAGCATACAGAAAGCTAGCTCTGCAGTGGCACCCAGATAATTTTCAGAATGAAGAAGAAAAGAAAAAAGCAGAGAAAAAATTTATCGACATAGCAGCTGCTAAAGAAGTACTTTCAGATCCAGGTATTACATAAAAGTGAATTTAATTCAATGAACATTTATTAAATGCTTATTTTGTGCAAAGCACTGTGGTAAGTGCTGGGAGTATAAAAATAGCTTTGACATAGATTCTGCTGTCCAGGAGTTTGAAGTTTAAGAGAGAAAGACACATACAGGGACACAACTGTGATACAAGGGAGGGCACAGAAGGAGTCCAAGCAAAGTATGTTGAGAAGTTTTTGAGGGAGAAGATGTCCCTTTTAGCAAATTTGGGGGTATAGAAGGCAGAGTCTGGTAGCCCATGAGTTAGGCAAATCTGGCTAAGATAGATAGGTAGATAGATAGAGGCAGTCATGTTAGACCTGGAGCTTAGGGATGAAGATAGGAGAGGACAGGCCGAAAAAAGGGAGACAGAAGTCCTTTTAGGCTCAAATGTAGAATATGTGAAGGGGAAAAATATTAAGGCAGGAGAGGTTAGAGCCAGATTATGGAGACCCTTGAATGCTAAAATGAGGAGTTTATACTTTATTTGGTAGGCTGTGGGAAGCCAAGGAAGGTTTTTGAATACTGAAGTGACATGACCAGAGTGGAATAGTAAGATAACTTTTGCAGCGGTCTGAAACATAGACTAGGGAGGGGAGAAGCTAGAAGTAGGAATACCAGTTTGAAGGTTATTATGATTGTTTAGACAAGAAGACATATGGTAGTTTCACTTGGAAAAGATGGGGTTCATGGGAGAGGATTGTATGGTGGTGAAACAGGGAAGATTTGTATGTGACTTTACATGGGTAACTAGGAGAATGGTAGAACCATCAAGAGAAACCAACACTAGGTTTTAGAAATAAATCTAAAGAGGATCCAGGCAGAATGGTGGGACAAATAAAATATACATAATTCAGTTACCAGAACTTCTCATCTATACAGGGTCTCTCTCCTTACTGTGTCCGCTCTTCTTACCTTCAGCATATCAGCTTTAAGGCTTAAAGTTGGATTTCCTTGTGATTAATATATGAAATCTATTAGAGATCCCAGGAAGGAAATTTCAAATGACAGAAAAGTGGTGAGATTTCTAATGTCCAAGGTTCTTAATCATTTAGAAAATCCAAAAAGTAAATAAGCATATATCATTTAAAAAAATAACTTACAATTAGAGCTTTCTAAAGGCAACATGTGGTGGCTAGAGGTCTGAACTTGAACTTGAACATAAAACCTGAGTTCAAATCCTACCTCTAACACTTACTGTCTGTGTGACTTTGGGCAAGTCTCTGAGACTCTGCCCAGGACATGCCCACCAAGTTTTAGACTTTGTGAGGAGGTGCTCTGCTTTTTATGAACATAATTGCATTTGAACTTCACACCACCCTGTGAGGCACGTGCTTTTACTGATGAAGAAACTGAAGCACAGACAGGTTAAGTGACCTGTAGATGGTCACACAGCTAATTTGGCCTTGAGTCCAGGCATGCTATTTCTTCTTTTTCTTTTCTTTTTTTGCACTTAGTAGTATTTTATTTTGTTCTAAATACATATAAAGATAATTTTTGACATTCATTTTTCTAAGATTCTGAGTCCCAAATTTTTCCTCCCTCCCTCCCCTTCCCAAGACAGAAAGCAATCTGATATAGGTTATACATGTACAGTCATGTTAAACATATTTCCTCATTAGTCATATTGTGAAAGAAGAATCAGAACAAAATGGAAAAACCATGAGAAAGAAAAAAACAAACAAAAAAAGTGAAAATAGAATGCTTATAGCTACATTCAGACTCCATAGTTCTTTCCCTGGATGTGGAGAGCATTTTCCATCATGAGTCTTTTGAAATTGTCTTAGATCATTGTATTGCTGAGAAGAGCTAAGTCTATCATAATTGATCATCTCACGATGTTGTTGTTACTGTGTACAGTGTTCTCCTGGTTCTGCTCACTTCACTCAGCATCAGTTCGTGTAAGTCCAGGTTTTTTCTGAAATCTGCCTGCTCATCACTTCTTATAGCATAGTAGTATTGCATTACATTCATATACCACAACTTGTTCAGCCATTCCCCAATTGATGGGCATCCCCTCAATTTCTAGTTCTTTGCCACCACAAAAAGTGCTGCTATAAATATTTTTGTACATGGTGGGTCCTTTTCCTTTTTTTATAATCTCTTTGGGATACAGACCTAGAAATGGTATTGCTGGATCAAAGGTTTACACAGTTTGATTGCCCTTTATGCATACTTCCAAATTACTGTCCAGAATGGTTGGATCAGTTCACAACTCCACCAGCGATGCATTAGTGTCCCAATTTTCCCACATCTTCTCTAACATTTATCATTTTCCTTTTCTGTCATACTAGCCATTCTGATAGGTGTGAGGTGGAACCTCAGAGTTGCTTTAATTTGCATTTCTCTAATCAATAGTGATTTAGAACATTTTTTCATATGACTATAGATAGCTTTAATTTCTTCATCTGAAAACTGCCTGTTCATATCCTTTGACCATTTATCAATTGGAGAATGGCATGCGTTCTTATAAATTTGACTCAATTTTCTATATATTTGAGAAATGAGTTAGGCATGCTGTTTCTAAGAGCAGGATGCCATCCACTATGCTGCTGTGCCTGGTACACCTGGTATTGATCCGCTGTACCCCTCAGACAGATCCATCAGCCTTTCAGGCATCCTTGTATGAAGCTTAGGGAAGGAGGGAGTACATATCAGGAGACAAGCTATGGGAGAGTCATGTATAAAGAAAACACAACAAAAGGCCAGTTTGGTAAGATCACCCACCAAGTTTGGCTAGTAAGATAGGTTGGAGCCAGGTTGTGTAGGTCTTTAAAAGCTAAAAAGAAGAGTTGATGTTTTATCATAGAGGCAACCAGAAGCCTCTGGAGTTGGTTGAGTAGAGGGGTTGACATGGTCAGATATGGGCTTAAGGAAAGTGAGTTTGGCAGCACTATAGGATAGATAGAAGTGGTGAGAAGCTGAAAGCAGGGAGATTTAGTTAGGAGTCTGTTGCAATAATTTAGTAAAGAGGTGGTAGCTCTGTGGGTGGGGAGAAAAGAGAACATAAGTAAGAGATGTTATGGAGGTAGAAATGGCAAGATTTGACAACCGATTAGATTTGTAGGTTGTAGGAGACTGAATTGAGGATAATTCCAAGGTTATGAACTTGGGAGACTGGAAAGAAAGTGGTATCTTCAACAGAGAGAAGGAAGTTTGGAAGAGGGGGCAATTTAGGGGGAAAGGATAATAAGTCCACTTTTGGATGTGTGGAGTTTAAAATGTCTCTGAGACATCCAGTTTGAAATATCTATTAGGCAATCTGTGATTAAAGCTTGGGGGAGACACCGAGGCTGGGTAGATAGATCTGCATGGAGATGATATTTAAATCTATGAGAGTTGATGAGGTTGCTGAAGAGTTGGGAGACTAGAGGGCCCAGAAATGCTTTCCTCAATCCTGAGGAACTTAAGTGTAATATACAAATGTACCGTCAAATGTTTTCTGTTTAGAAATTATAAAATACTAGTTATGAATATAAGAATATATAAGTGAGCAAATTAAAATGCACCTTGAATGATTTTATGTGTGATAATTCAAATGCAAGCATAAAATAAAACATTACTTGTGTTTGTATTCTCCAAACATTGCTCCAGCATAAAGATTGTGGGGTGCTGTTACTTTTCTGGGAAATTATAGTTATCAGTTCTTACTTATGCCTCTTAAGTGCTATAATTTTCCTTGCTGGACAGTCTACTTTTAATTTGTGACTACATTATAAATGTATGCATTAGTGCAGAATCACTCAGATGATAGGATGGATTAGAAAAACTGTTGCATTTGAAATTCTGCCTTTGGTAGTTTTATTTTTGCTTCCCTGTAAGATCATTTCTGTTAGTTTTTATCTCAGAGAACTTATTAAAATGTCAAAGGAAAATAGGTTATTTGTATTTTTAAGATAGAATAAATATAAAGGATACTTTAATGAATATTAAAGTACTATTTTTAATCTTTCCTTTTGTGAGCTGAAATGAAAGCTATGATGTACATTTCTCATACAAAGCTATTATTCATAATGTGTGAAACACACAATGTAAATGCCAGGCACAATTGCTTATACCACTTAAAAGAGGTTTTCCCCCCTTTAATCGGATAGAATTTGTTTAACACCTGTGCCTCAATCTGTTTGTTTGTTTTTTTTTTCCTTTTTTAGAAATGAGGAAAAAGTTTGATGAAGGAGAAGATCCCTTAGACGCAGAGAGCCAACAGGGAGGTGGTGGCAACAGTTTCCATAGAAGCTGGAATTCATGGCAAGGCTTTAACCCCTTCAGCTCAGGCGGACCATTTCGATTTAAATTCCACTTTAATTAAAACCAACAATGTTTTTCTGCTACTGTTCCTTCTCCTCTTAACTTTTTTAAAATTAGAAAACAAACCTTGTTCCAGTTTCAGGACCCTAATGAAATATTTCCAATTTTTCTGTTGTCCATAACCAAAGAATTGTTTTAATAGGAAGAATCTTTTCCAGTCCATTTTAAACTCTCTTGTTGGCTGGCGGTAGATTGATGAATGATGGTATGTGGTTCAGGGCCTGTGTGAAGCAGCCAAGTCTGGGGCAGACTCTCTTGTATAAGCACTAATGTATTTTTTATACTTTTCTGCATTGGAGCAAATGCAAATCCTTCCTCCTGTCCAATCCTTGTGTGGTGTGTCAGTACCTACATATGGTGCATCTATAAGCATACATAAGCCAAAAAAGAAGCTGTTCTCTGAAGACTGGGCATGTTTCAGTATTCTAAAAGTCAAAGATTAATGATGAGACCAAATTCTAAACTGTATTGTTTTAGGGTAACTTGGTTTTCTGAAGCATAGACTACTAGACTGGGATTTTGAACAAACAGAACAGTTATTGATTTCTAATACTTTCAAATGTTTATTTGTTAATATTTGAACTTCCTTAATATTGTATTCAATTTAATGATATTTCTTCTGTATGGTTACAAGTAAAGAACTGGGAATTCCTCATTTAGAAAACTTACTACCAAATGACAACTGGGTTTGGACTCTTGATTGGGGTTAGAAAGCACGTTTTATTTTATTTTTTTTGGTAGCTGAATGAGATTTCCTCAGGACTGCATAAGTGGCATTGGATGTCCTGAAGACCTGGGAGCATTTTCATTTATGACTAAAAAGAGACACTTTGTTTCTATAAAACAAGTTATTTTCGAATGCTGAAAAATTTTTAAACAATATTGCTTCTATACAAGTAGAGCGAAAATTTGTTTAGTAATGAGTTCTTACCTGTCTTACAAAATTTTCAAGACCAAGATTTGGTTTTGAAATTTAAAGTTGCTTTTCCGGGATATATAGGCCTTTGAATGCAGTATTTCAGCATTCTTTACTGTAGTGGCTCTGTTAGAGTGATTTTCCTCTCCCTTGGAGCCAGACCCAAACATGTGGACCTCCAGTGATTCCAATGATCCTGTTTTGCTTAATTCTGGGTTCACAGGACTATTAGTTTCCTGGCACATTTCAAAATCAGATAGTCACCTTTACTAAAGGTACCAGTCTGATCTCAAGCTCCTGGGATTTTATAGAGTCTTCCACAATCTTTTTTTTTTCCCCCTAGAAAAAGGTGCCTCAACTTGCTGAACTCAACCCAAGTTTCCACCATCATTTCTCTGTAACAATGATATTTATCTCCTGATCACTTGTTCCTTTTCTGCGAGGTAATTACTGAATAGTAATAACTATTCAGGTTTACTATGTAGAGGTTTTTTTCCCTGTTAAGAATAGGAGTTGATCTTTTTTGAATAGATCTCTTTAATCAAGGACATTGTACCTTTTAAGGAAATGCTAGTGCTGCACTTAAAATCTGAGATAATAGATTCAATTAATAATTATTAACTGCTCCCAATGAAGTTTTTGTAGAGCTCTGAGTTTTGGGGGAATACTTTTAGTAACATAAGGTACTTAAAATTATTAGAAAATCAAGAGATCTAAACAACGGAGAAGGTAATTGGACTATACTGATGCCAGCATTAGCCAAGCACAAAATTTTATTCATAAGTATCAGTTTGCCTATAGAAGTAAGATTTTATTTAAAAAGATGTTGGATGTATAACTATGTAGATGAGTTGGGAAAATACTTTGTAGAAAATTTTAGTCATTACCATGATGTCTAATTGTCTCTCCATAAATGTAAAGCATTGGAAAAGAAAAGTTTTCATTGATTTGCAGTTTTTATTTGTTTTATAATGTCTTGAAGCTCAATCTACTATAATATGCAAATGTACAATGTAAGCTGTATTGTTTAACTCTTTGAAAAAATCTTGAGTATTTGTACAGCTGGAACTAATTCTGTTATCTACAGAAATTGTTTTTGAATCTGGTCTTTTATCACAAATTTTCCTTGGCATCACACTAAGAAGACCACTACACAGCTGATAGCCCTGCAGTAGTAGGGATCTTCAAAGCCCCAGATAAAAATATATGAAGTCCCAGAGCCTAACATTTAAAGAACACCAAAATTGCCAGGATATGAGAATTTTGAAAGGGTGTTTGTGATGGTCGTGCATAGGATTGCATTGGGAATTCATGTTCTTTAGGGTATCTGTTATTGAGATAGCATCTGACTTCAGATTGCATGCCTGAGTTTTCAGCTCTCAGAATAACCACGATTCCAAAGCCTGAAGTCAGTCACTCACCCAAGGGAGGTGGGCAGTTACGTTCAGAAGCACCATAATTATAGATTAGAAACACTTGACAGCTTTAGCTCATCCAAGAAGAGAGAGAAGCTATGTATTGCACAGTGCCAATTCCATTAAAGAGGAAGTGAGATGTCTGGACTGCATTCTGCTACTTAAGGAAGAAAGTAGGAAGACTGAAGCTCTTAACCCTTTCTCAGTGAATGCAAGGAGGTTCTTCCTGTTTGGAAAGACTGTAATGTTTGCAACAATCAATGGTATAGGAACATTTGCATATTAAGGGATAGTACAACAGTTTGGAAGCCACACTGTACAATGGGAAGAATTAGAATGGCGAAAGTTTATTTTAACTCATTTCATTAGTGACTGCTGCTCTTGCACACTTTTTGCTGACATTCTGCTTTTGGTCACAGGCACAAAGCATTTGTAGCTTTTTCAGTAAAAATATGCAGCAAGTCACATGTAAGGATGCATTATCCTTAATTCTATTGTGTTCTCTTCTGAAATTACTCTTTTCATTAATGAGCTCCCTAAATAAAATGTCACTGGTCTATTCCATTGTAATAAAGCTGGTTTGATGGGAGTTACACATGGCAAAAAAAGTATTAATCTGTACATGATGCAAAAGCAATCTTAAGAAGGGTGGTTGAAAACTCATTGAGAAGTCTGAAAGTGTGTACAGAAGTTTGTGCTTTTTACCATGAATAAATGAAAATGTAAGCAATTTAAGCAGCCTCTGCTGAAGTGAATTTTATAATAAAAAATCTAGCCAACTATCAATTTGACTTTTAAAAGGGACAGTTTTCTATTTCAGATCAGTATTAATCTAGCCTTTTGAGTGTCAGTATGAAAGCATTTGGGAAAATTTTGGTCTCTGACAATGGGATCTAAAACTGCCCACATCACTTGAAAGAAAATGATATTTCCACCCCTAAAAAAGAGGATAATTAAAAGATACTTTTTTAGAATCACAATCCATAGAAAACAGTGTCATTTTATTCATGGTGAGAAGTGACAATTTTCACCTGAGAGAATCAGTTGGCCAAGTTTTTGCCTTATTGTGATAGTACATTGCCTTGCAAAAAGATTTGACCAGTATGTCAAAAGAATAGTTGTAAAATCAATCTGTACAGCCTTACTGATTGACTCTAGTTTCCTTTTCAACATCCAGAGAGGAGGAAGGAGGAAGGCAGTTGTAATTCTTCAATGACTAATACAGTTTTACTCTAAATCAGATCATTCCTGTTAATCACTACTTGTTAGTGGCAAGAAATTGACTGCATTTTAAACAGGATGATAGTAGGTAGGGTAACTCCGTCTTGTTGCAGAGATCTCTTGCTTGCTGTCTGATTTAAGATAAATTAGCCACTGCGTGGCTCTGGGGAGTAACACAATTGTGTTGCCTTTGTTTATCTACATTTGTCACACCTCTGCCTGCAGTGAGAAAGATCGGCAGAAGTTGAGAACTGGTGATCTTTCTTAATGTAAGTTAGATACTACTCCTGCCCTAAAGCTACAGTTCAGCTATTTGAGTGAGATGACTAACTTAATGCATCTTAAAATTTTTGAATGTTTTATATAAAAAAAGGAAAGGAACCTAAAACACAATGAACTGGGTCTCAGACATGTCTACAAATGTGGGTACTATTTTTATGCCAGTGTATTTTCACATTTAATAAAGATATTTATGGTGATATGTGCATTTTTTTCCTTTTATGATTTCTATAAAAACAGTTGTCATGAGAACCTAAGAGATGATGCTATATATTTTTTTTCTATATTTGAGTTCACTCCAGATTGGTATGTTGAGGAAAGGAAGCTTGCCATAAGTAAGTTATAAAGGAAATCAACCTCCCTTCCCCCTGCCCAAGCTAACAAGAAGTTGGAAAATATCGTTTAAATAACCTCTCAAAAAGCATTCATTCTACTTGAATAGCCCCTAATCAAGGGGTTGTCATACAAGGAGGTTACAATTTGGTTCTTCAGTGTAGACATTTTAAGATCTAATGCATTTAAATGATGTTATTTGAAAGAAATAATCTTCAAGCTAGCATATTTCTATTAAAATCTAAAAAGTAAAATTTTATCCTACAAAGAAAAGTTGACTTAAAAGAGAAATTAACAAAATTGAAACTTTAAGTCTAAGTTATAAAGGTGTTACATATTAATGACAACATTGATTTTATGTTGAATGCAAGTTATCATGGCATCTGAGGAGCCTTCATAGTAAATTGTCAGTTTCCATTTTGTGGATAACTAAACTGAAGGCATTGTAGTATATTCAAAAGCGTATTAGATTTTGGAGTAAAGAGACTTGACCCTTAATTCTGTTATCATGAGCAGGTAAGTTGCTTTTTCTGACCTTCAGTTTTCTCAGTGAAATAAGGATATCTATACTACCAACTTCATAGGCTTATTGTGAGGAAAGTACTATAAAAATTTGAGTAGTTAATAATGACGTTAGTAATCATATAAAGGTGAGAGCAGCCCAGAAAGAAATGAAGGAAAATCATGAAAGGGAAGATGATCCAGATGTTTCAGTAGGATTCTTTTAGCTGGAGTTGAAATGGGGAGAGATGGGAAATAGTCCAGTACTGGCCTGTACAGACTTAGCCAATTCAAAGTTGATCTGCATTGTATTAATTTCATAAGTCTTGCACGAGGTACTCTTACTAAAAAAAAAAACCTTTTGGTTTGCCTTAATCAAAATTAGCCAAAACTATATTTGAAAGTTATAGGTTAAACAGAAATACAACAATTCAAATGAGTTTGTTTGCTGCTTCTTTACTAGCATTCTGTCTGTGCCCCCCACCCTGTTCCATACACAGGTGCTTAAGAGAGTTTGTTGAATTTATTATGTAAGAATTCCTACTGTTTTGAAGGTTAATCACATCAATTCCCAATATGAAATAATTTAATGAATAAGGAGATGAAATGGGAGGGGCTTCTGTCACTGCTAGAGAAATGACCCCAGTCATAGACCTTATGGGGAAGAAGGAACCTTGCCTGGCTTGAGTTACAGCCCCCTTCTCCCTGATTAAAGGATGTAGAATTGAAAGGGAATTGAGAGATGGTCTAATCCATTCCTCCATTTTGTATACTGGGAAACCGAGACCCAAAGAGTCACTTGTAACTTTTCCAAGGTCAAGGGTGCTTAGCTGTGATTTGAACCAAGCCAAGCCCTTGGACCCCAATACCAGGGCTCTTTTCACAATACCACATAAGCAAGAATTGATTGATTGTTGTTCTGTCCTTCATTCTCAAAAAGGACCAATGATATCATGAGGGTTATGTCTTGATGTGTGTGAATTAGATCTAAGTGAGGCAGAGATGTGAATTGAAAAAGTGGCAGAAAGAACAATGCCCCCTCTCCTGCCCTGTGCATGCTTATGATATTTGTGGATTTCTCTAATCATTAGAGAACCTTGGAAATGGTCCTTTTAAATGAACTTTGTATGTTTTCCCTACTGGGTGAGATTCCTCTCTGGAGTATGGAAGGCTCCTTTGGAATCATCCATTGATAACTACTTCCCAAACATTTCATTTCTGATTTGAACATTGCACAATATGCCTCTTCCTGGGATGTCATTAGGGTACTCACTTTATATGTACACAGTTGCATTGTATTTGTCTTCTTTGTGATTTTGTTAACAATTCACCAAAAAAGCCCATTAAGCAATAAAAATAATTTCCAGTTTTTCTAATCCCATAATGGTGGTTTTATGTGCAAAAAAAGTTTGTTTGTTTTTTTTTAATATTAAAAAGGTGTTCTTTTTTTGCATTCCTCCCTCTGAGTTGACACATTCTGGCAGGGCTTCCCTGTGACTGGGGAAATGCTATTTCAAACTTTTACCAAATGGAAAGCTGAGGAATGTCAAGTCATATAAACAGGGTTATTAGTTATAATGCAAATATTTTATATCATGTAGTATATAAAACTTTTAGAAAATGATGTAAATATAATTGACCTATAGACCACTTTGAAATAATGTATACTTAGGTTTTCTACAGTTATGAAAAAGTCCTGGTAGAAAACATTGGCCTTGTTCAAACAGAATCTTTAACAGATTTTTTAATATCTGGAGTTTGTGAAAACATAAATTGCTTATTAAATACCAGTTTATATGGGACATCCCAAATTGCTGATTTAATGTGAAGAGGAAGAAATAATTTTTTTCTGAAACCTTCTAGATATTTTAGCAGCTGTGTTTTATTAAAAAAAAATACTTTTATAAAACAGATCTATACAATGCTTAGCACATAGTAGGTACTTAACAAATGCTTTTCCTTTCCCTTTTTCCCTAAAAGGATTGCTACTATAATTTTTTTTTAGCTTCCCTTCTAAGTTACTTCTCACTAGAGTATGTTTTGGATTGATTCCAAAATTGAACCAGTTTCTTAAAATACTTGGTTCAGTTTGCTTAAATATTTAAGACATTCAACTTTTTCTTCTCTTCAGAATCAGTTATTATTGATAGTTCACTGGACGTGTCATGTTAGACTGGTGTTAAATAGAACTGGGGCCACTAAACTGTACATAAAGATCACTGAGGCCTACATATTTAACTTAGAAAACTACATATTAACATTATGTTCTATTATATTTTTATTTTGTTAAATATTTCCTAATTACATTTTAATCATGGTAGGCTCTACTGGGGAGTATTTGAGTCCTGGTATAAGACATTTATAGTTAAAATGGTTTATTTAGTCATATGTTGACTATGTCTTCTTTTGATCACATAAAATTCTCTGATGTTATTGTGAACATTTACTATTAATTTGGTGAGAACTAGTTCTTTAACGTCCAAATCATGTGCCTTTCAGAGCCAGATGTTTCATGCATATTGAGTCTTGATTTTCTGTAACTCTTAATTTTCCCTTGCTTTACTGACAATTGGGCTTCAGGATTTCTAGGCAGAGATAAGGTAAAAATACTAGCAAAATAAGGTTAAGAATAAAGTATTTTAATGAACTGGCTAAAGACAGCATTAGTTGTATTATAGCAGAAATACAGGAAGAACTGTCTTAAAACTTAACAATTACTACAGCAGTTGGTAGGGCCTGTCCCTAGAAGCCCCTACCAAACCCTTAAACCTGGATGTAGGGTTGCCTGTCTTAAAATGTCTCCTTTTGACTTTGAGTCATAGTGTTTCCTGGAGGTCATTTAGACTCAAAGGCCCTATCCTTCGTTTTCCTTTCCTTAGTAAGATTTTCCAAAATCTATAGGTTCTTCTAGGCTTATGCTAAGGACTTCTCAGTAAAAAGTAGTGGAGTTTTACTACTAAACAGATATGAATTCACATTCTTTTTTTCTTTCAAGCTTTAGCGGAGATTTAGCCACAAAGTATCATGGGAGGTGGCATGGAGTATTTGGAAGGATCACCGGACTCTGGTGTGAAAATAACTGGTCTTGGGTCTAGGATCCATAACTTAGTAGTTGTGTGATCCATGGAAAGCCATTAGGCTTCTCTGGACCTCAGTTTCTTCCTCTCTAAAGTGAAGAACATATTGTTGAGTTTGTTATATGTGGCAAATAAAAAGTTAACCACTTCTCATAGGCTGAGTAAGCTATTTATTGAAATAGGAATGTCTCAGGTAGTTTAATGAATCTTAAATTTTTTCTCAATCTGTTTTCCAGGTCAGCTATGAGATACCTCACATTTTCTCCTATTTTTTTCTCAACCTTTTGACTTAATATTTCTTGTTGTTTCTTTGGCTTCTATTTAATCCATTGTAATTTTTAGGGAGCTTGTTGCTTGGACAAAGTTTTGAACCTTTTGTGCCAAGCTATTAATTCACTTTTTAATTCTTCCATAGCTCTCATTTCTTTTCCATTTTTCCTAAAGTACTCTCATTTCATTTATAAAAACATTTTTAAACTCTTGCTTCATCTCATATGAAATTTTAGCTGTTTATACTCGTATTTTTGTTTCCCCTGAGGCATTGCTTGTAGATGTTTTGGACTCATTCTCTTTAGCATTTGTGTCTTGAGCATCCCTGCTACCATAATAACTCATTTTGGGGGTGGTGGGGGTGGCAAAGGTTCTTTTTTGTTTTGTTCATTCTTCCAACTTCCTGATTTTGGACTTGGTTAGTGCTGAGCTCTGTTCTACTTCTGGAGAAAGGTCTGGGCTGGTCCTGTTGCTACTTTCTTGAGGTATTGAGATGCTATTTCAGCATCTCAGGAACACACTGGAGACTTGAAAGCTCTCAGTGCTTCCTAAGTGTTCTTATCCAAGATGAAGTCTGTTTACTGCAAACATCTCCCTCTTCCTGCTCGCTCCCCTCTGAACTCCACAAGTTCCTGACTTGGTTTTGAGTCTGTGCAGGAATAGACTGTTGTTGGACTCCACCCCTATCAGCCAGTTGGAAAGCTCTGTTGGTTCAAAGTGGCAGAATTGGAGGCTCCTCGTTGGTCTAGGATTCCTGCCTTGGTTATTCTTCTACTAAAGACTCTGCTCTGAGTTTGGGGTTTGAGTCAAGCTGCTCTTGCTGACTTTTGACCTTACTCAGTGCATTGCCCAGGGCCTCCCTACCAGGAATGCCGCCCCTTTGTATAGCTCCCCTTCTCACTCCACCTGAAACAAAGCCGCTGGTTCACACATGTCATAGTGTTTTACTTTGGATCTCGTGCCATAGTGCACATCCTCTTCCTGGCCATCAGGCTTATGTGTGTTCTTGCCCTGACCCCATTCCCAGTGTCACCTCCCTGTCTACTAATGCCTAGCTTGGCTGGATAA